ATATATATACACACACACACACACACACACACACACACACACACACACGGAAAATATTTGAACACTTTGTCTTAAAATATTTTATTCATCATGTTAAAATAAAACGTTCCGTAATCAATTTTTTTCCTTTTCTTTTTTCAATTTTTCCAATTTTTCGGAAAAAAACAAAAAAGGCTTCAGGAAAAAACGGGGGGAAAACGGGTTTTCCCCCGAATTTTTCCGGGGTTTTTTCCGGGCCTTCACATCTCTAGGTATAAATCCAATCTCTTCTTCTTCCCCCTCCCTCTTTCATAGGGGCAGGACAGGAGAAGGCAGACCCACTGTGGCCACCGCAAAGTTGGAGGGAGGGAGCCAGCATCCACCTGCTTTCTTCTCTCTGCCTCTTCTGTGGGGCAGGGTGGGGAAGATAAGCGAGCCGACTGACACAGTGGTCCCTCACTGCCACCAAGCCTCTTTCGGTGCTGCCGGCACACGCGCCTCGGCCCTCCCGCGTTCTAGAGCCACTTCCGGACATCTGACTGTCTTGACCCATCTTCTCCCTTCTTCCTCTCCTCCACTGCCCCAAATCACATGGCCACACTAATCTATCACGAGCCACGTTTGGGGAGGGAGGTTGCCAAGAAGACCACCGAGCTCTGCAGAAAAGATAACTGCTGTGCAAATGTTACGCCACTGATACATGTACCAGGGAAGTCTCCGGTAATAGTAGCCAAGCCATACCAGGCGTGCATAAAAAAAAGCAAACCTCAAGGCCGCCCCTGCCAGTTCTGCCATCTCTTCAAGTGGCTTACCTTGTTTCCTGCTTTCTCGGGCGTTTTCTCCACTAGGTCCGGCTGCTTCCCTTTCTTGGAGGGCGTTCGCTTTATTTTGGGCGAATGGAACTTGTCCATAAACTTCATGGTGAGGGACGACAGATGGGAGCGCTGGGAGTCTAGGAAGAAAGAGCACAGGGATTTGCACCGTCTGACTGGGAAGCAATTCTGCCTGCATTGAGCACTGCGGCCTGCTCCGGACGGGAGGCTTTCCAGACGACCCGGCTCTGCCCAGCTTAACCAGAAAACTCCACAGCCACTTTGCACCAGTCCCATGAGGCAGAGCTACACCTGGGGGGTTACCACCACTGTTCCCTCTAAGCTGAGTTAGTGTGAGCTAGCTCACCATTTCTTAGCCTCTGGCTCACCCATTTTTGTCTTAGCTCAGTAAGGAGGGCTCCAGAGAAAACTAATTTATGCAGTAGCCAAATCGCTCGCTCACAACCAGGGCCGGCTCTCTCACTAGGCTTACTAGTATCTGGCCTAGGGCGCAGATCTCCCAGGGGCGCAGCGAGGCCCCTGCCGCTGCCACCACCTGCCTGCAGCACAGCTTTCTGGGCGCCCACAATGCACCCCTTCCTTCCCGCCGGCTTGCTTAGCAGCATCACCATCAGGAGGGGGCGAGGGGCCAGCAAGGAAGTGAGGAGGGAGGAAGGCGCGCTCCTCTGGGGACTCTGCGCTGCTCTGGCCTCCAGTGCGCTGCAGCAGTGCGCCCCCTCGCCTCCTTACCTCCGGATCGCCTTCGTCCCGGTCAGTCTGCCGGTGCCTCCAGTGATCCAAGGAGAGCTCCCTCCGAAGCCCCGAGAGCCCAGCTGGGGCCAAGGATTCTGCAGGCGGGCTGCTCGGATCCCTCCCCCCCCGGCGGCACTTTCCTTCTGCTTCCGGCGGAAGCTGTGGGCTTCTCCGCCGAGCCTGAGGCGGCCAGGCGGGGGGAGGGGGCGGTCCTGAGGAGGAGGAGAAGGAGGGCCTGCCTGGCTGCTTCCCTCAGCCGCCTCGTGCTCCTGAGGCCTGGGCGGCAGGGGTGGGGGGTCTTCCTGGGTGGGGGCGAAGAGGCTGGCAGGTGGCCGAGGCTCTCGGGGACGGTCCGACCTGGGGCTGAGTGGTGCTGCCGAAGCCGGGCCTCACACTGATCGCAGGCTTGCGGGCACAGGGAGGGAGTCCCTCCAGTGGCTGCTGGCCTGGCCCGGCGCTCTAGCCCAGGGCAGAGCAAACTTGCTCGAGAGTTGGCACCGCTGCTTGTCACGGCAAAGACAGGCCGGCTGGTCTGGGGGGAGCGCGTGGGCTTGGCCCGGCTGTCCCCTCCCCAGTCCCCACCTTTCCAAAGGGGGAGAGAAATAAAACATCTTTCTCTCCAGGCCCTGCCTGGAGTTTGGCAACCCCATAATTGGGCACGCGCGGGGGGGGCGTGCCAGAAGGTAGCCCCGCCTAGGGCGCAAAAAAACTTTGGGACGGCCCTGCTCACAACCTTATTGCCAGTAGCTCACAAAGTAGAACTCTTGTTCACAGGACTCCACTGCTTAGAGGGAGCACTGGGTACTATGTCGTTCTACCAGCCTTACACAAACCTCACCACTTCCGATACGTTTAATTTAAAATCTATGGTGTTCAGTTCAGTTTATTTTTAATTCGGTACATAACCAGCACATTTCACTTAAAACAATTTTAAGAGCCCAACTGTTAGGATTGGAAACATATATAAAATCTTTAAAACAGATATAAAAATATTACACAAGTAAGAATCCATCGTAAATCCAAGGTACCCTGGGGTAGCAATACATAAAACACAGAATTCATCCAATCCACTTCCACTTTCATCTGCTTCACTTCTTTATTTGTTCCTTACAAATTCTATAAGCTGCAGCTAAAAATCTAGCACAAGTTACTGTAAACTGGGGGTTAGAATCAGACAGGAACTGCTTACTAATCTCTGGGTCTGGATAACTGAGAAATCTCCCTAATAAGGGTTGAATAACTTTGCTCCAATTTCTTGCTAGTAACCACAGTGTAGCAAAGTGTGCTCAATCATCTCCACTTTATCAGTGCCTCAAGGGCAAACCCGCTGTATCACTGGCATCTTTTTATACCAACCTTCCACTACCACAGATGGGAAAATATCGCATCTGGCCATAAAAAAAGCTCTACAGTAAGGTGGAATTTCTAGGAGCGATAAGTAAGTTGCTGGAGTAGTCAAGTATCTTGTTATCAGAGGGGCCAAGAAGGTCGGTACTCTAGCGATATCACTCTGCCTTTCGATATCAAATATCCTTTGCTTGACTACAGCCCTTGCCTGGTCCAAGGCCATTATCTGAAGAGGGAAAAACCAAGCAGATGTAACTTCTGATAGACTGCCCGAAGCCGAACAGAAACCGTCCCTGAGAATTAGTGAAGTAATATCAGAAGGACTGTGACTTATCCTAAGCCAGGTATTAATAGAGGCGAGAAACCTATGGTGCTATTACATTTGGTATGCGGCATACAGTTCTGGTTGCCCTATTTCAAAAAGTGCACTGCAGAGCTTGCAAGAATGGGCAGCCAACATGTTCATTTGTGTCCCACCTTTGAGAGCCAGTTTAGTGTAGTGGTTAAGTGCGTGGACTCTAATCTGGGGGAACCAGGTTTGAGCCTCCATTCCGCCACTTGCAGCTGCTGGATGATCCTGGGCAAGCCATAGTTCTCTCAGAGCTATTCTTGAAAAAGAGCAGTTTCTGTCAGAGCTCTCTCAGCCCTACCTACCTCACAGGGTGTCCGTTGTGGGGAGGGGAAGGGGAAGTGGTTTTTAAATTGCTCTGAGACTCTGAATGAAGGGTGGGGTATAAATCCAATCTCTTCTTCTTCTTCCTCTTCCCCTCAGACAGCTAACAGCACAGCAACCAAAACATACCCATTCAAGGCAAGAATTTGGATCCCCCCCCCCCAGTTTAAAAAAAGTCAAACATAGGGGAGATTTGCTAGAGGTTTATAAAATTATGTATGGGGCAGACAGAGGACATGTCCCCCTTTTTTTTTTTACAGAGTGCCAGAACAGGAAACCCCATTTTTACAGAGTGGCAGGACTCAGAGGAACCCCAAACAAACTGACTGATAGTAGAGGTAGGAGAGACAAAAGAAAGCACATTTTTACGCAGGGCCTAAACCAGTTGTGGAATCTACAGCTCCACGGCCACTGGCTTAGACGGCTTTAAAGGGGGATTAGATAAATTCATAGGGAAGAATACAGTTATGGATAGCTGGGTGGAATGTGCACATTCAGAAGCTGCCTCTCTCTAGCAGAGGCTGGCGATAAAACAGCGTGGCACATGGCTACTGCCTTTGTGTCCTGTCGGTGGGTTTCCTGAAAGCATCTGGCCCGGACGGGATACGGGATGAGAGAGAACTTTGGGCTCATCCAGCAGGAGGTTTCTAACTTTTAAATCCTCAGGTTCTGTTTGCCAGAGACCACACATTCCCCCCACCGCTTTGGTGGCATGCCTTGGGGAACAGGAGGGGAGGAAAGAAGAAGAAGAAGAGATTGGAGTTATACCCCGCCCTTCACTACTCTAAGGTGTCTCAGAGCGGCTTACATACTCCTTTCCCTTCCCCTCCCCCCAACAGACACACTGGGAGGTAGGTGGGGCTGAGAGAGCTCTTGACAGAAACTGCTCTTTTTCAAGGACAGCTCTTATCAGAACTATGGTTTGCCCAAGGTCATCCAGCAGGTGCAAGTGGAGGAGTGGGGAATCAAGCCCGGTTCTCCCAGATTAGAGTCCGCGCACTTAACCACAACACCAGACTGGCTCTCCTTCCCACATATCTCCTGGCCCCTTCCCACGCTTAATAAAACCAGAATAAATTACGCAAAGCAAGAGAAATTATGCACATGTACTCAGTTTGCATCAGTTAGAGGACCCAAATCCAGTTCTTCTTCAGATGGCAGACTAGGATCTGGGAGACCCAAGTTCAAATCCCCGCTCTGCAATGGAAGCTTGCTGGATGACCTTGGGCCAGTCACACACGTTCAACTTAGCCTACCTCACAGGGCTGTCATGATCAAGTGGAGAGAGAGATTGTTGTATGTTACCTGAGTCCCCACTGTAGACAAAAATGGGGTATTAGTGAAGTAAATTTAACAACAACAACAATAAATAAGGTACAATCGAAGGGAGGGAGAAGAGAAACTGTGTCTTGAGCATCAGTTTGGGTGGGCACTGGCTCCTTCCCTCTGCACACTTAGGGCAGCACCAGCGCTTTATTTCAGGCTGACAGGCAAGGAGAAGGCCACATGCAGAGCTGCCAACCTCCAGGTCGGGTCTGGAGATCTCCCAGAATTACCGATCTCCAGAAGTCCAGTTCCCATTGAGAAAATGGCTGCTTTGGGGGCATCGGACTCCACTAAGGTCCCTTCCCCCAAACCCGGCTTCCCCAGGCTCTACCCCTCAAACCTCCAGGAATTTCCCAACCTCCCTGCCAAAGTAACACAGGAAGGGGGTCTGAAACAATATTTCGAGAAGCGCTGTTCAATTAAAGGAAAAGGAAAGCAGGGAGAAGAAAAGTGGACAAAGGGATTTCTCCTCCCTGCCACTCATTTCTGTGCAAGCTATTTCAGTCTCTGCACATGTTTGAAAGCTCAGAGGTCTGTGGCCTGCAAGCTGCGCATTTCAGTGCCGGCAGATATTTTTAACTGGTTAGCTGTGAATCTAAATAAATCTGCCTGCTTTCACGGAAAGCAACTTTGCACGTGTTTTGAGCAAACAGTGCTGGAAGAGGCCAAGGGAGTTATCCGGCAAACAAAAGGACTCGCCTTCGAGGCTGTGACTAGCAGAAGGGAAAAGTTTCTGCTGTTTGTGTGTGTGTGTCTCCTCACCACCCCATTCAAGGATGAGACTGCCTGGGTTATAAATGATGCCTGCCCTTTTTTCTATCCATCTGCAATTATGCTCGGCTGACAGAGTTTACTCTGGCATAGAACAGGGCACGCCAAGACTCTTGGGTCTCACTCTTTTATGGTAAAGTCCTATTTCTCATGGCTGCCAAGAGGAGAAAAAATACTTTAGAAACTCTGCTCTCCAAATAACAAATATAATCCGTTACCCAGATTTTGAAATCATCTTTCTGGCAAGAAAGAAATAATTGCCTTGCTGGATCTGACTCAGGCAGTCCATCTAGCCTAGCATCCTGTTTTCAGACAGTGACAAACCGAGGTCTCTACGATGCTCACGAGCAAGCCCTTCCACTTTTTGCTCGCGGCTGCCGCTAGACTGCACCTGTACAAGGAGGATCCAATATCCTAGCTACGATTGGGAGGCTGGAGATAATCTGTGAGTGCGTCTAATTCTTTATAAGAATGTCAGAACCCCTTTCCAGGTCAAGGTATCCATTTAACCCAGCACTCTGTTTCCAAAAAGAGCGCCCAGCTTCTAGAAGCTCACAAAACTGGCACAAAAGGGGGTGGCTTTCCCCTGATGTTAGGACTCCTACCATCTGCCATTAAGAGCCATACTGCTTCTGCCCATGGAGGTTCAATTTCGCTTTCCAGAACACCACTGGGGTTTTTTTTAATTTAGTTCTTGTATTCATTTTCAAGGTTTATATTTTGCCTTTCTTCCATTGCGGGATTCAAAGGTTTTTTGTGTTTTTTTAAACCAGCCCACAAGTCTATGCTAGCTATTTGTGGTATGCTGACAACAACAAGGGGAAAACAAAGCAGCGGACTGGCACTTTCCCAGTCGACAGAAGCACATGTGCTTGGTTTCCCAACAGGGATCCAAGGTGGCTTGTGCAATTCGCTTCTCCATTTTATCTTCACAACAGCCCTGTGAGGTAGGTTAGGCTGAGAGTGTGTGACTGGCCCCCGAAGTCACCCCAGCAACCTTCCATGGCAGAGTTGGGATTCGAACCTGGTTCTCCCGAGGCTCTAGTTTGACATTCTAACCACTATACCATGCCAGCTCTTAATTCTTATTTGCCACTGGCCAGTGGCGACTTAGAAGCCCGATTTCAGTCTCACAGCGAAAAGCAAAAAGTGTTTTTCAATTCCTCTCCGCAGCTACAGTTTTAGTAAGAACAGACACCCTCAGGGTGCTGAATTCCACACTTGTGCGGTAACCCTATGCAACAAGCCCAGTGCTGGCTCCACTGAGCAAGCTAAGACGGGTCATTAGCACACAGACAGCTGGCCAGCTGAGTCACACTGAAGTCTCAGCCCTTGGGCACTCAGGAGCACTCAGAAAGCGCAGACCACAACATAGCAGAATTGGGGATTTTACTCCCTCCCTTATACCTTTAATCTGCATCTGGTTTCTGTTTCAGTGGGGAGTCGGTAAGCCATCGTTCAGGAGTGCCCACGGAGGACTGTGGTCTTTGCACACATCTCCTGCAGTCACACTGCGTTCTGCCCAAGGAGAATGCTTAAAATGTGTTTGCTATGGCATGGCTGGCCTGCCACATTTCTAAGAAGATTTCTATGGGCATGCCCAGGCATTTGACAACACTAGAACAAGTGCTGTGGGCAGTGTTTGCCAAGAGGTGCGGTGTGTGTGCTTTCCAGTCATTCTAACATGCCTCTTGACCTGGGTATTTAAAAAGAAATGGACGGTGACTCATCAAGTTATTATTACTGAGTTTACTGCTTCACCAGAATGAAATGCAATTAACCAGAGGGCCGTATAGACTGGGGATCAGCAATTGGGGGCCCAAAACCCAAATCTATTGCCTGTTATTTACCAAATATCGGGGGGGGGGTTGGCTTGGGTCTGGCTAGCGGTCCCCCTTTGCCCCATATACCAAGGTTCATTTCCCTGCCCAACTTTTCCAAGGAGCAGCACCTGAAGGTGCACATCCCTGGAAAGTCTCCCATCACATGACCAGCCCACATGACCACCGGCATAGCCTCACCTGTACCTATAAATCCTTAAACCCGTGAAGAAATGTACAAAGATCCTAATATATAGTAAAGGCAAAGGTTTCCCTTGTTCGAAAGCTAGTCAAATCCGACTCTAGGGGGCGGTGCTCATCTCCGGTTCCAAGCCGGAGAGCCAGCGCTGTCCGAAGACGTTTCCGTGGTCATGTGGCCGGCATGACTAAACGCCAAGACGCACGGAACGCTGTTACCTTCCCACAGAAGTGGTACCTATTTATTTACTTGCAATTTCTTGCTTTTGGACTGTTAGGTTGCCAGGAGCTGGAACTAGAGACGGGAGCTCACTCCGTCATGCGGTGCACTCGGGTCTCGAACTGCCAAGCTACAGACCTTCCGGTCTGCAGCTTCAGCGTCTTAACCTCTGCGGCCTCTATCTAAAATATAGCAAGGGGGAAAAAAGGAAGGTACTCTTAATTTAAACCAGAATATTAAAAAAACCCCAACATATTATCAAGGGGGGTGGAACCCTTAAAAATTACAAGAAACAACGGAAATCCAATTTCTCATCCAGAAGAGACATGTCTTTGAAATGACTATCTAAATGATTCCAACCATGACAAGAATAAATTAAAGCCCTGCCTTTTATATCCATGGAACGTATCTGTTAAATGGCACAAAACCTTAAGTCTTGCTCTTACTGTTTCTGGTATTAAATAACAACAACAACAATAATGTCATTCAAAAAGGTGCTTCCGTCCTTCCCTCCATTCTGTTCTTCTGCTCTAGAGGCCTAGCCTTTAAGGTCTTCTTGTTTTATCTCCATATAAAACTCAGCCTGCGCCAGAAAATGCCATGAATCACTTCTATAATTAGACTACTGATTCAACCTGAACTGCCTCCCATTAGAAGCATTAATAAATGACTTCCAGCGCAGTGATCTTTGGCAAGGAGGAAAAATGGCCACAACTAAGAATGTACTTCCCCTTCTTGCCTTGCTTCTGAGGCAGAGCCAAATATAGAAGCAAGCCCTGAGTACTGTTTGAACATTTATATCCATGCTCTCCCGTGATTAAAATTCCGCTCTTGCTCATACATAGCATTTGTAAGAGCTCCAAAATACGAAAAGCATAACTGCAAAGGCTCCAGTATAATCCAGTGGCAGAGTGCATTGGGGGGGGGGGGGGGGGGCATGTAGGAAGGACGTCTAGTCCAGGCAGTATCTTTGACAAGTTAAGACCTCTTGATTGACAAAAAGCTGGTGCCAATGAACTGGATAGCAAACTTTGGCCCTGGTCACACGGGCTAGATAACGCGGGGGGAAGCGTGGCTGTTCGCCCTGGAGTAAAATAAAGTGCGGTAGCCCAGTCAAACGATCCCCCAAGTCTCTGTGCTTAGGCTGTTAGCTGGCGATCACACGGCGATGCTGCAGCGTGGCAAAGAAGTTTCGCGTTTGTGTGCATGCGCAGTTCTGCATAGCAGCACTGCTTTCAGTTTCAACTTTGTGCGCATGCGCTTACGAAAAATATCCAGTTTCCGATGGGATGTGGACGGGCGCCGGATGCCACGGGATACTAGCGCTCCCGCGATCCGACGCCTGCCTGTGCCGTGCATTTTACGGATACTAGTGCACTTTCCTTGGTACTTTTTAACGCCACATCTTCGGTGGGACGCCACGGGTGCACTACGGTTCCCAGATGTTGCGGCGTGATCAGGCCCCGAAAATCCGCCCGACATCCGTGCCTTTCGCACGGCAAATTCTCCGTGTGACCAGGGCCTTTTTTTGTTTTTAGTACAAGTACAGAAACCATCACTCTGAAGAAAAGAATCGACGTCAGTGTTCCCTCTAAGCTGAGTTAGTGTGAACTAGCTCACCGTTTTTTAGCCTCCGGCTCACACATTTTTGCCTTAGCTCAGGAAGGAGAGCTCCAGAGCAAACCAATTTATGGAGTACCCAAATTGCTCACTCACATCTCACAGAGTAGATTTTTTGCTCACAAGGTTCCACGGCTTAGAGGGAACACTGATCAACGTTTGTTTTTTTAGATAATGCTTGCTCATCGTTCTATGGGTGTCATCTCAGAAGAGGCATCCCTCCCAGGATGTGGGATGCAGTGGCAGAAGAAGCATCATCTCCCACACCAGAGGGAACGCCTCTTCTGAAGGCAACACCTACTGAGGAGAGATTCAAGTGGGCAGCCGGGTCGGTCTGAAGCAGCAGAACAAAATTTGAGTCCCACGGCACCTTTAAGACCTGGCACAGTGGCACCTTTGTAAGACCAACAAAATTTAATTCTGGGTGTACCCAGAACTAAACTTCGTTGGTCTTAAAGGCGCCACTGGACTCAGACTCCGCATCATCTAAAAACCAAACCGGCTTTTCTTTTTACAACAGCACTTTCTATTCACATGCAAACTTACAAATGACTAAAACTCATCCCATCAATCAACCAAGCTTATTTGCTTACTGGTGGCCGAATATCGAGTATTGCCCTAGAAAGACAAAGGGTCGCCAGCCATGTCCTGTTGGGAAATGCGGATTTAAGAGGATGAGGTGGACAAAGCACAAACACTCAGCATTCAGGCGTCAACAGTTATTGGAAAGGAAAGCCGGCTCCCCCCCTGCGAGCCCCCCCGCAGAGTTTGGTAATCAAATCATTTGCAGCTTGTCTGCTGAACCTGAAATCGCCCAGACTTCCCAAGGGGAGAGCATACTAGTGGGGGAGTAACCCCCATTGCGCATCTCTGCCAGAAAGGCAAATAAATAAATACATTCCCACACACACCTCAGCTTTGGTCTAGCAAATAATTTAGCTAGCCAGCCTTCAGGGGAAAGAGCCCTTCCATTACCAGGAACCTCCTCCTACACTGACAGGAGAGCACTTTGTTATATATGGGCTGGGAGAGAGATGTCCCCTCCAGGGTACCGAAAATAAAATGGCCAATTTTATAATTCTTATAATTCCCCTGTATTTTATGGTGTGGCCTCATTTGGAAGTGTGCAGTTCTGGCTACTGTACCTCAAAAAGGGTACAGCAGAGCTGGAAAAGTACAGAAGAGGGCAACTGAGAGTGTTGGAGGAGCACTGTCCCTACAAGGAAAAGCTGAAAGTATATGAGGAGGAAAGTCTGAAAGTATACAACTGGTCCAAAATCACCCAGTCCGCTTCTACAGGGAGATGGGGATTCAAACCTGGGTCTCACATACCCTACTCTGGCCTCGGTCACACGGGCCGGATATTGTGGGGGGGGGGAGGCATGGCTGTTTGCCCCGGAGCGAACGACCGTGCGGCCGCCGGTTCAAACATCCCGTGGTTCGGGGGGAGGTGCCGATCATACACAAATCCTGCCGCGCGGCAAAGAAGCGTCGTGGCGGGGGTTGTGGGTTTTTTTTAACCGAACTGTGCACATGTGCCGTTGGGTGCTTGTGCGCATTCCGTGGAGACTTGAGGGAAAAAAACCTTTTCGCGACGGAACATGGGCGGGCACGGGATGCCACGAGCTACCACCGGAAACGTGATCAGGCGCCCGCCCTTGCCCCGCGGTTTCCAGAAACTAGTACCTCGGAGGTACTAGTTTTTTACGGCGCATCTTCGTTTTTTACGGTCAAAATAGGGCTGGAAAGGGCCCTCTCCACCTCCCCCTGCCTTTTACTCACAGAGTCAAGCTTAGCATGCTGTGGTTGCCTAGCAGTAGCCACTGAGGGAATCCCTTGCTTAAAGCTACAGATGCTGCTTTTATCTTTTTTTTTTGCTTTTTAAAGCAGCCCAGTGTATTTGTTTTAGATTTCACATTTTCCCTGCAAACCTAGGGCCCTTTTCAGGTTTGTAGAAAGATCTGTCTTGCTTGATCACAGCTTCAGTCAGTGGATTTAAGTAGCCAAAGATATCTGGACTTCACTATTAGAATATAAGATACACGATCGAGGAGTCTCCACCTCCTGGAAGTTCCAGGCCCCAGAGATGTTAAGTTTGCCCCTACTAGGGCCAGGGCGTTTTCGGTGGCGGCTCCTACCTGGTGGAACGAGCTCCCAGAGGAGATCCGGGCCCTGCGGGGCCGTGTGCAGTTCAGTGTAAGACGGAGCTCTTCCACCAGGCTTTTGAGTAGGAGCCGCCGCCGCCACTATCCCACCACCGTGGTAGTGCTTCATCATCTGCCCCTATCATGGGGGACAAGCATCACCTGGCAGAAGTGCGCAGAACAGCACTGCTGGAGACAGCTGGCCGCCGAATTGGGTTCACTGTTTCCCATCTTGGATGATTTACATAGGAAGATCAGAGCACCTTGATTATTGTATGGGTTTTATTGTGGTTTTAACGTTGTTTGTTTATTGTATTTTATCTATTTAACCCGGCTTTGCCGTATGTTAGCTGCCCTGAGCCGTTGGCAGGGCGGGATACAAATCTAAAAATAAATAAATAAATAAATAAGTGTGGAGAGAGTTGACAAAGAGAACTTTTTCCCCTTCTCCTAAAATATTAGAACTC